CCCATCCAGCTGAACCAGCAGAGGAAGATCCCCTCTGTCCTGGTGCATGTGTCCCCGGACTCATCTGTGCAGCCCACTCACCTTGGGGAGCTCCCTTTCCTGCACGTGGCCAGCAGATCAAGCTCCCAGAAACGCAAACGATCGGTACTGTACTGAGAGTGGGCAGGGTTGCCTGTGGTGGGAATGGAGACCAATCCCAGTGTTGGGTTTCTTCAGAGGTCTGTTATCATCTCAAGCCAGAATTCATTTTCCAGAGTGCTACCTCCTCCTAGGAGCAAGGGCATAGGGGTGGTGGGATCTCTTTCTGTCCCATAACCAGTACACACCTGCATGCTGGGACATCAGTTTGGCCCAGATCTTCTACTGCATTTTGTGAGCAGGAGACAGGCTGAGGTAGGTGCAGTCCCCGCCACAAACTCCTGCTACTTTTAAAGTCCCTTTCCAACCACTGTTTCTCCTGGATGAAGTACGAGATGGAGCTGTTTCATCATTGCAGCATAAAGGGTTCTGGTGTCATTGGAAGCAGATTTTAACTGTGTGTGAAACTAATTCAAAGTGAGGCCCCTGACATGAGTCGGCCAAGGCTTGGTTTGGCTGCTGGAACTCAAAGTGCTTTCACCTCCTTGAGATTCAAGAGCCATTTCCAGATGTGTTAGGTTCAGGATTTTTGATCTGAGTATAGATCAGATCAGCAGGCTCCTTGCTGATGACCCTTGCCCTGCTCCAGGCGCATCTCCCCACCCACTCCAGCATCAGCTCCCCAGGTTAGGGGTCATGTAGAGCTCCCACCACTGAGTGCTGTCCCCGTGCTGACGGGCTCCTGGCACTGCAGACCACACAGGGCACCGGGCTGGGCTCGCCCTGTGCAGGGTGTCTGTGCTAACGCCGTTGTTTTGACGCCAACAGGGCCATCACAGCAGCAGGTCACGGCGGGAGAGGACTCCAAATGACTGTGCCCAGCTGGCCCTGCACAGCCTGGGCCAGCACCATGAGCGGTGAGCACAAACCTAGAGCTGTCTGGGGCAGGTGAAAATCAGCATCTCCTGCCTTCTGTGCTGCTTTGCTCTCTGGTGTTGGTGCCCCAAGGTGGGGGGGTATCCAGATTGGGGTGAGGCAGAGCCTGACAAGTCCAACTCTTGCAGGAGAGGAACTTGGCTTCTGTCATCAGAGAGGTTTGTGCCAGGCAGCACTGAAGGCAGCTGTGGTGCTCCCCAGAGTGATGAGCTCTCCACTGAGATGCGTATTGGGAGAGCATGTCCCCTCTTGCAGCAGGCTGGGAGTGCTGTTGGTCCTTGCCTGGCCATTTGGCCAAGAGGATCTTGCCATCTGCTCTGGCTTGTCCTGGTCTCTCTGGTTCTGCCCATCTTCCTCTTGGTGTTTTGCAATGTGCTCTCCTGCTCCAGCACCAGCATGGCAGAGTGCTGGAGGCTACGGGCAGGTGACCACTGGCAAATGAGGCTTAACCAGCTCTCTACAAGGGTTGTTGACACTTGCAGTGCCTTGGAGACAGGGTGGGCTAAGAGCACACCTGCTTTTCAGCCCTTTGAGCGTAGCTTGTGGGCAGTAGCACAGTGATAGTGGTCTTCTGCTCATGGCCTTGGGCTCTGTAGTCTCTCCACTGGAGAAATTGTTTCTAACTTAATCCCAGAGCAGAGCCACTTTTCCCCCTAGAAGTCCAGGGTTGTCCTGCTTGGCAGGAGAGCTGCCTTCTGCAACCTCTGTGAGAGCAGCTGGTGAAGGTCTGGTCATCACACCACCATGGTTGGCCTTAGAGGAGTCATGTAACTGCCTCTGAGCCTGGGGGCTTCTGGAAGGGGTTCTCCCACCTGGTGATGTGTAAATCTGGGTGCTGATGGCATTATCTAGAGATGCTTGAAGCTGCTGAAGGGATGATGAGCACTACAAAGTGCCAGGCTGTGCCCATGCTGTACGAGGCTAGGAGATAACAGGCATGGTTCTGTGTGCACCCCAGGCCGGACGCGTGCCCCCTGCCCGCGCGCAGTGCCCCACTCCCCCTCTTCGCGGAGACGGGCAGGATCTACTCCATGCAGAACATCTTCCAGACCATGTATCACCTAGGCCAGGTGCTCTTCCACCGTGTCCAGAACTCTCTGCAAGACCCAGTGTCATCCAGGTGACTTTGGCTTGTCTTCAGCCACCTCCCTGTCACTCTGCAAGGACTTGCCTTCACCTCACTAAGGCTTGAGCCAGGCATGAGCTCTGTAAAGCGCAGGCTGCACGGTGCAGGAACAGGATGGTCCTGCATGGCTGTTCCAGACTCTTCTCCTTGCCTCTCCTGTCCACCAGCTCTGGGTGCCTGGCCTTGGAGCACCCGGTGCAGCCAGCCTGGGTGCACCCTGCTAACCCAGCCCAGCTTGTGTGTCCTGCTTAGCTTAACACCGGCCCCCTGGGCACCCTGAGTGATCCAGCCCCGCCTGTGACACTGCTGGGATTTCAGCTGCTCTTCTCTGCTAAGCAAGTGCTAATTTTTCTGCCTGCCTTGGTGGCTTGATGGAGAGAAATGGGTGAAGGGAATCTGAATCCAGAGCAGACAGACTGACCCAGGTCCTGTCCCCAAGACACCCTCTTCTGCAGACACCCAGCACCCTTGGCTGTATCTTGGTCACTCTTAATTAACTTTTTCCATGAACTGGTTGCACCAAGTTACTCATCCGGTAGCCGATGCCTCTGGCCAGGGTGCAGTATCTCACTGGAGCAGGTATGCAGTGACTTCAATCTCTCTGGATGTGCTTGGAGCAACTGTCTCCACCACACTGTTATCTGTGCAAGTGCAGTAAATTTAACATGTTCAAAGTCATCATTGCAGCCTTAAGGTGTCCCCACTGCTCTAAGGCTGCTGAGCCCCCGGAGGAATGTCTGAGTACTTCTAATTCTCCTTGAGCAAAGCCTCCAGGCAGAAAGGGAAGAGAGTGAGCATCCATCATTGGTGCCATCAGTGGCACGTCCAGCCTTCCCTCCCCAGCTGGTGCGGAGGTCCAGGCAGCAGAGCTGGCTTCTGCCTGCGGACAACGGAAAGTGATGTCCCTGCTTTTAACCACAGTAGGCTGACTGTCTTCAAATGTCACTTTTTATTTTTAATGAAGTCTGGGCATGCCAGCAGATCTGGTTAGTGGCTACATAAGACCTTCTACCTCCTCCCATCAGCAGCAGAGGAGGTTTAGGCCGTAGTACCATGAAAGGTGGTAGCTTGTGGAGCTGCAGTAACGCAGTGGGGTGAGTCCTGGCCCCTCTCCCCAGATCTTGACCTCCCTTTGAAGCCAGCCACCTTGGGAACACCTCTTCTTGGTACTTTGCATCGCTTCAGATGCATACACTATCTCTTTGATATGACAACCCTGTGCAACAAGAAAAATAATAATAATAAAAAAAAAAGAGTGAGCTGACTTTTTTGTCTTGAAATTTTGCTAAAGAAAAGTCTGGTCTCAGACAGAAACTGGAGTATTTGCCTGACAGTGACCCCTTGAAGGACGTGAGTCATTGGAAGGTAATTTCTAGTCTCTACTCTAAAGGATGTTTACCTGTATCAACTGGGATTTTTCAGTCGAAAGCTGCAGGATGTGTCCCTTTTTAATGGCTCTGTGCTGAGGGAAATTGGATTTTCTTTCTGTTGTGACTTTCACTTTACATCACAGCTACATTACGTGGGGGTATTATCTCACAAATGTATTTTCAGCCAGAGATTCACTGAATCTCCACATGCTGTTCAGGCTTGTCTTCCGTGAGATCAGCGTCATGTTGCAAACATGAATAAACACCCTCTGCTCCCCAAGGTCTCGGAAGGAGGGGTGTTGACACTGCTTAACCAGTACGGTACTGGCGAGTGCCCATGTGAGTTATTATAGGAACAACAGCCTGAACACAGCAGTTTTGATTTTTCTCACTGTGGATCCACTGTATTTTGTGGCCCGGTGCTGTGGGCCCTGCAGCAAGGCTGTGTCTCCAGGACGTGCCCTGGGGATCTGTGGTCTGTGTTGCCTCTGCCAGTGCAGCAGCTAATCCCGGTGGTGGCCCCTTTGTTTTCAGGGATGGAAGAAAGTGGTGCAGGCTTGGGTTGCTTGTTTATGGTTAGAGTTGCAGGTAAAATTTGCTGTAAGAGCAAAAAGTGATACATTTTTTTGTTGGGGGGGCAGGGAAAGTGAGCTTGTGGTATCTGGAGATATTGGAGAAGAATAAATCCTTGTCTTGGCAAACACAGGACCCTTTTCTGCTGGCTGATGCATTTGCTCAGATAGTTCCCCCCAGTTGATGGCTACTTCCCACCAGCAGGATCCTCACCTTCTGATGTAAATGACATCATCCCTCCATTTCCGTATTGGCCCTGTCATATGTATTTACCTGACTGGCTCTAAGGATGATTTATCCAACCCTCAATGAATTTCTCTGACTATAGAGAGTGGATGCTTGGTAAATATAATGTTTTCTCTCTGTTGGACCTCTAAAGAAATACAAGCATGGCTATTCTCTGTTGTCTGCCATGGCGTGTGCTGTATGTTTTGTTGTTGCTCTGGGGTGCATGGTGGAGGGGTGTAAATATGCATGATGTGGGTTAAGAAGAGGTGAGTAGGTGCCGTTTCCTCTCTCCTCATGCTGCATCCAGACACATCGTGCACACGCTGCCTGCATGGCTCAGCTCCCCATGGCAGTGCCACGTGTGCAGGAAAGCAGTTGCACCTCTAGAGCAGTGTTTGTCCATCTGCATCTCTGTTTTTCTTCTCCAGCTCCCAGGAGGTTGGCCCAGCCCCAGAATGTGCCTTGGAGGAGGTTGAGGTGGCTGAGATGGCAGCAATGAGAAAACAGGTGAGATGGGGATGAAGGGCTGCAAATGTTTCCTGGGAAAGCCATAGGAGGGGGGGTGAGTGGGCTCCAGGGGTCTGTCACTCAGTCCTGATGGGCTGGGGTTGCCAAGCTAGTCCTGGGTGATGCTGCTAATGGAGAAGCAGGGGAGGACTTACCTGTGTGCTGACCCATCAAGCTCCTACCCTGAGGGGCTGTAGGGCTACAGGAGACAGCCAGACCCCCTCCATCTGCTGGCAGTAAAGGGCTCAGATGCTCTTCTGATGGGAAGGACCTTTTCCTGAAGCATCTGCTCAGGAGCTGAGGTACTGCTGCTAATTCTCCCACGCAAAGATAGCTGCTGCTCTAGAAAAGGAGGACCTGAAGGAGACAGCAGCTTGGGTCCCTTGCTGTCCCATGTCTCTGGGGTGTAGCCAGTGTCCTGCACTTTGCTGAAGAGCTGACAGTGGCCCCACTGCTTCCCTTCCAGTTGACAAGGATCTCGGGGAGGCTCCGTGTGCTAGAGGAGCAGTGCAACGCCTGGCGTCAGAAGGAGGTCATGGTCTACTCCGTGCTGATCTCCGCCTGCCTCATCAACACATGGCTCTGGCTGAGAAGATGATTTCCCATGCCCCAACCCTCCCTGCCCAGCCCTGGCACGTGGATGAGGGCAGGGAGAAAATCCTTGCTCGCATACTTGCAAACAGTAAAACTATGTGTTTCTTCTTAACTTGACCTGCTTTTTGCAGTGTAGGCCCTTGAGGGTCTGTGTCCTTTAGGCCCCAATCGCAATGAAGGTGCCATCCCTCTCCCGTGCTCTAGCATCAGAGGTGGGTGAGGGAAACAATGAAGCTGGACCTCATGCCATAGCAGCTGGAGATGGGTGTCAGGGAGCGGTGGGATACAAGGAGAATGGTCCAACAGGGTAGTCCCAGGGCTGGGCTGTGGCTGCAAATTCTCTGTGTACACTAGCAACTGCCTTGTACATTTGATGGGATCAGTGCTTGTGTGGGAAGCTGCTGTGAAGAGCCCAACCCTTATAAGAAATTGGTGGCTGATACAGGAGGTGTATCAAAGCAACGGGAGACCCTCTGGTCCTTGGGCTGTCTGCCAGATGATGCAAAACCAAGGCGTTGGGTGTTGGCAGACAAGGGGTCCTGTTACAGTCTTAGACTGTGGTGGGCCCAGTCCCCTGATCATGTTCCAGCTTGGACAGCTCAATTCTGACCCCATAAAAGTCTTCAGCCAGCTGCCGTGGTCTGTTCCTCATCTTCCACAAGCTTGTGTAGAGTAGTTGAGTGTTTTGAAACTGCTGGTGGGTTTTCTTTTCTTCTTTGTGTAACTGCTCTTTGGGGATGCAGTACTGCCAGTTCTCCCTGCTCTAGGAGGGATGGAGCTGGAGGAGCCAGGAGCTCCCATCCCTGCAGCTGCTGCAGTGCCACATCTCCTTGGCTCCCATCCTGTTGAAGGCAGTTGAGCAGCAGGTTTGCAATGTTCAGATCCAAAGTGACTGTAAGAGCGTTGCTGAGATCTGGGCTTGTCCAGGAGCTTGGCTCTTTCCTGGAGATATTTAAATGGGAAACCTCCCCATAATGACTCTCTGGATTATAAGACCTTGTACCAACAGTGATAGCACCAGACAGGCCATGAAAAATTGCCCATTTGGCCAGCAGGAGATATTTGTTAGGTTGCCAATGCCAGAGGGCAGGATTGCTCCCAGGTCTGCTGCCAAGCTGTAACTTCAGTGATGGTGCAAGAACACAGGTGAGGGGAGTTCTTGGCCCAGATGCTCTTTAGCTAAAAACAAGCCCAGTTCAACAGCTTTGCCATTTCTTTCCTTATGTGGAGTTTAGTATCTCTTGGATCTGAGGTGACTTTGAGATGCTTTTGGTGGTTCATCCAGCACATCTGCTGGAGTTGTGCCTGCAAGCTCCAGGGCAGGTATTGGCACAACCTAACAGGACCTCTCTGTTCCACCTATAAGTAATTGTAGCTGGATCTGCAGGTCATCCAGATGTCCCAAGAGCTTATTTACAGATATAGATGCTTTGATGTTTTCTGCCTGCAACTGCATCGAGCATCTGTGACTGTAAATCTGACAGCTGGACACTGACTCATAAATGACTGTCCCACGAGTAATTGCAGGTCTGAACCTGTGCCTGATGGCTGAGCTGAGGAGAGCGCTGAGATTTATTGTGGATGAGAGCCAGGATGGTGTAGTGGGCTTGGTGTGCCGTGCCATGGCAGGGTGTATGTCAGGGGTGGGAGGTCTGGTGCAGGGGTGATTCCTGTGGCTTGTGGCTCAGGGATGTGCTCAGGGTTACCAGGGGACCTTACACAACAGGTCTGTATAAAGGGACTGCTGCTGTGTGACTCGTGCTAGGGAAGCAGGTAAATTGGCTGGTGTCTCTTCTCTGAGAGGTGCAAATGTGTTTTGGAGGAAGCTTGTGGTTTGGGGTTTTTTTTAAGATGTATTTTAGTGTGAGAAGGGCTGACCCTTTGGTTGACACACCTTCAAAGCATGGATTGAAGATGTTTGTGGGAGAGGTGGTCAAACTATATGTGTTTTCAAAGGCTAATTACTGGCAGGTTGTAGGGGATACAATATGACTTTTATGTAAGGGGGAAATCCTGGTGTAAATCCGGAAACACTGACCCATAAAAATGCATATTTTAATAAACTCCCTGTGTTCTGGATGTGTTTTTTCTACAAACCATGGAGTCTCTCTTTGCCGGGACTCCAGAGCATAACATTTGGTCTCCTGCTCCCTGAGCATGAGAAGAGGTAACTGGATGGGAGGGTGTTAAAATGTGGCTACTTCTGCAAGTTTTCCATCCTGGCAGTAGCTATGGCACAGCCTGTGAAGCAGGGAAGTAGCCAGCAGCTTTGTTTTTCCCTAGGGCAGAGGGCTGGGAAGGGAGCAGAAGCAGCGGCCCAGGTGGTGATCCCCATGCATCCCCTCATGCGGCAGGACCTGAGCCCAGCTGGGGGTCTGCTGGCCGTGCCTGTCCCCGGGTGGGCAGTGACCCTTCCTCAAGGTTTTCTGAGGACGCAGGAGCCGCTGGACCCAGAGCTACTCGGGACGGCTGCGATCTCCAACCAGGCTCTGCCTGGAGAGATGCCTGGGGTCCCTCCAGCCACCGATGAGGTGGCAGGGGGAGAAGGGGACGCGTGGGTAGGGAAATGGAGCATCCCTGAGCATCCACTGCAGCATGCCCATCCCCTTTCATCCCCCAGACACAAAGCTGGCTGCTATTAACTCCTCTGAAGTGTGCCTTGCTGCTCAGGGCGTCCAGGATGCTCAGGGGATGGGCGTGCTGTAGTGACGAGAGACACGCCACACACGTGTGCATCCTCCCTGGGCACTCCAGAGGCCCCTCGGCCCCTGCCAGGGTGCTGCCTGCCCACCTCGCCTGCTTCTCTGCCGGGGCAGGGGAGAAGGTGCCGGGGCAGGGGAGAAAGGCAGGGGCACCGGCAGCTCCACTTTGCTCTGCAGCTCAACGCGCCTTTTAAAAGCCAAGTGCTCTGGAGACAGCCTGGGAGGCTCCTGAGGAGGGATGCTCCCCAGCCACCCTGCCAGCCCGTGTTAGGCAGCAGCCAAGTGTTGAAGGCTTCGGAGGACACCAGGCTTGTAAGTGGACAGTGGTGGTTTCTTGGCAGCAGCTCCGCTGCTCTGGGGAGGTGGCTCACCTGGGCGTGCATGACTGTCCCTCTGTGTGTGGCGTGGCTGTGGTCTGTGTGTGTCTAGAAATGTACAAGTTGTTAAGTAGAGCCTTGACCGTGGGCTGCACCGTGGGAGAGCAGGAGTGTGTTGTCTCCAGGAAGTGTGTCAGTAGAAGCGTACAAGTTGTTAAGTAGAGCCTTGACCGTGGGCTGCACCGTGGGAGAGCAGGAGTGTGTTGTCTCCAGGAACCTGCCTCATCCATGCATTGCAGGTATGGAGGGTGTGCTGTGGCCCTGGGTGGCCAGAGTGGGAGTACATGGCAGGGCTGGGCAATACCTGTGTGCCCTGTGTCCGTGCATGTGCAGGTCTGTGTTTCTGTGAGGTGCTTTTGCATGGTGTGGTCTACACGAGGGTGCAGCAGAACCATGAGGGCTGCACATGATGCTGGAGCTGGGCAAGTCCTGTGGGCTTCTCACTTTTTAGGTAAAAAAACCCCAGTGAAATCCCACACTTAACAGTTCCACAGCAGCCTCCATGTATTAATATAGGGTCTTCCCTGCTACCCTCTGAAACCAGATGGTAGCTCCTGCCAGCAGGACCCTCAGCAAGGTTCTTTTTAAATAACAAACCTTAATTTCCAGCACAGGGGAGATTTCTGTGGTGACGAGAGTTGGGGCTTGCTGGGCAGACCCCAGCTTCCCTGGGGCAGGAGGGCAGTTGCTCAGGTGCAAACAGCTTTGTACCTGCAAAGTCTACCCTGACAGCAGGACAGCATCTCCCTGCCTGTGGGGTGGTCTTGTGCTTACATTCCTTATGAGTCTATTTTCTTGTCCTCGGGCTGGCAGTGGTGCTGAGCCATGGGCTTGTTGTTATGGCACAGCTCGCTGGGGATGCTGTTGCCCCGGCAATGGCTGAGGAGCCTGAATGATGACAAAAGCGTCTTTCATGGCCCACGAGCAGATGTGGGATCTCTTGGGGAGGGCAAAGTGCTCTGCAGGACTCTTACTGCAGAATCAGTGATGGCTGGTGGTGGAAAACATGGAGTGGGCACATCTCATGGGAGGGTTTCACCCTCTCTCTTCCCATGCTGTGTTGTGTCTTTGTGTTCCAACCACGTGATGTGTCCTGCGTGGCTCTTCTTGTGGCTGTTTTCTGCTCTTTGCAGGTCTCTTGGGCAGGGTGTGTGCCTGTGGTCTCACATGGAGGATGACGGCCAAGAGTAATGGTCTGCACAGCTCACCGGCCAACTGCAACCCCTACCCACCCGCCCAAGCCCGAGTGGACAGTGATGCAGAGAGGACGAGGCTCAGCACCAGGAGGTCAGGCTGGTCCCTGGTTTGTTTGAGGGAGGCAGTGGTGGGGCAGGGGGGGGGATGGCCAGGCCC